CCACAGCACAAAATATATAATTTTTAAAAATCTAAGAAGAGTCTAAAAAAAATCTTAATAACAGTTAGTGAGCTTTTAAAAATTCTTTTCTTTGTACTACACTGTTGTTCTTTTAAAGGAATATACATCCTATTTGGGATGTATATGGGAAATGGGATTGCTGGTCAAAGGGTAAAAGTATTTGAAATTTTGATAGATATTGCCAAATTGTCCTCCACAGGACTTGTACATTTTATACCATTACTACATTGTATAAAAGTGTTTGTTTACAATTCATGAGGAATTTTTAAACATCTACTTTCCTCCCAGTTGGAGGAATATGGATCATTGTTCTTCATGTTTCTAATTTAATGTGCAAATGGAGCAGTAAAATGCTGGACACTTACTAATTTTGATGTTGAGAGGTGTTTCTTTTTTTTTTTGTTTCAGAGACAGAGTCTCATTCTGTTGTCCTTGCTAGGGTACAGTGGTATCATCGTAGCTCACTGTAACCTCAAACTCCTGGGCTCAAGCAATCCTCCTACCTCGGCCTCCCAAGTAGCCAGGGCTACAGGTGCACGCCACTATGCCTGGCTAATTTTTCTGTTTTTTTGTAGAGACGGGGTCTTGCTCTTGCTCAGGCTGGTCGCAAACTCCTGAGCTCCAGTAGTCTTCCCATCTAGGCCGCCCAGAGTTCTAGGATTACAGGTGTGACCCACTGCATCCCTGGCAGAGAGGTGCTTTTTTTTTTTCCAGTCCTCTTTTAGCTTCATGTCTTGTTTTAGTCCTCATTACAATCACATTCACTAGATTAGTCATCAAAGGTACCTTGTATTTTTCTCTATTAATGTGGTCATCATAGTTTAAGAAACAAAAGAAACCTAGTCAGAGGGCATTATAACAATGTGGTTCCCTAGCATCATTTGACAAAAAGGGCCAATTTGCAAATAAATTAATCTATTTTTATCTTTTGTGCTGGTCATTTTAATTTCAATTTTTTTATGTCCCATTCCCATATTTATCGTATTACTTTATTATGAATTTTATGATGTTTATATAGTTTTCCTTTGTATTTTCTCTTTTTTTCATTTTCAAGAGTGTTGAATTTCATGAAAGAGGAAAGAATCATAAGGAAAATGTGGCAAAAAGGATCAGTGAGGTAATGTAGATTGTTTCTTTGCCAGTTTTTCTATGTAGATGTCAGTCCTTTATCTCACTTTCACTTTTATATGTGTCTCCCATAGATTAAACAGAAAAGCCTGGATAAGGCAAAGGAAGAAGAAAAGGCATCAAAGGAGTTTGCTGCAATAGAGGCAGCTGCCCTGAAAGCATACCAAGAGGATTTGAAAAGACTTGGCTTAGAGTCAGGTAAAAAAAGCAGCCAGCATGTTTTAAAAGTAACATCAGAGGTCATGCTAAGTAAGCTTTGATTGTTTCCATAAAGAGGTTATAAGCCTGGTATACTCTCAGGGCATTTATTATGCACATAGCCCTATTTAGACTGTGGAACTTTGCTCATGCACTTTGGCTTTTAATGCTCTTTATCTTTTTTTTTTTTCAGATAGGGTCTTGCTCTGTCAAACTCATGGGCTCAAGTGATCCTCCTGCCTCAGCCTCCTGAGTAGCTGGGACTACAGGTGTGCAACACCACACCTGGCTGATTTTTCTATTTTTTGTAGAGAATAGAGTCTCACTCTTCTCAGGCCAGTCTTGAACTGCTGGCCTCAAGCAATCCTCCTGTCTCGGCCTCCCAAAGTGTTAGGATTACAGGCATGAGCCACCCAGCCCAGCCTTAATACTTTATCTTTTAACACCTCCATTCACAGCAACCATACTACCCACATGGTTACCTAGTCCTTAGTGAGTGGTTAATTTCAAAGACACTTTGAGTTTTTTAGGTATTCTAATTATTTGGCTAAAAGACACTATTTCTTAAAAAATAGGCCTTGTGTTATAATTACAGTTCTCTTTATCCATGTGGTCAAAACTATGAGTCTTGTTTATTTATGTGGGTCTATATGTAGTGAACTAGCCTTTTGTTGATAAATTAACTGATTTTACTACTAGAAGGTAGTTATTTTTGAGGGTTTAAGAATGAGGAAGTTCCCAGTAAAAGACATAATTTAACTAGAATGTTATCTGTCTCGTCATTGAATTTAGGCTTGAAACTGGGAAACTTCTGTGAGCATTTCTTCCATGACAAATCCATTTTCCTTAAGACAAGCATATAACAGATCTCAGTTGTTGATCTTCCATAGTGGTTGGGATAATCAACATGTAATGATACTCTTTATTCTCTAATAAAAACAGCTTTCGATTAAGGTTTTAAGCAGAATACCAGTTAAGTTAATTAGCATTGCCTTCATTAAATAAGAACAGTTCTAACCAGACTTTAAAAATATTATCCTGGCCAGGCGCGGTGGCTCACACCTGTAATCCTAGCACTCTGGGAGACCAAGGCGAGTGAATCGTTTGAGCTCAGGAATTCGAGACCAGCTTCAGCAAGAGTGAGACCCTGTCTCTACTATAAATGGAAAGAAATTAGCCAAACAACTAAAAATAGAAAAAATTAGCCAGGCATGGTGGCGCGTGCCTGTAGTCCCAGCTACTCGGGAGGCTGAGGCAGGAAGATCGCTTGAAGCCCAGGAGTTTGAGGTTGCTGTCAGCTAGGCTGACGCCACGGCACTCTAGCCCAGGCAAGAGAATGAGACTCTGTCT